ATTGTGCAGAGGCACCACAGGGTGATTGCTGCCCAGTTCTTTGGGCACCATCACACTGACAGCTTCAGGATGTTCTACAGCCACACAGGTACCTGCTCTGCTCACCCAAGGGCTTGTGTGACAGCTCTGACACTCTCAGAGTCACTGTCCATGGCAGTTTTTAGTGGCTGTTGGCTCAGAAGCCAGCAAAAGCATCTGACATGCTTGGGGCAACAAGAGGCAGCAGCGTTCTCATCTCTACCCCCGTCCCTCCTATTCACCCTCAGATATTGTTGTTTCCCCTCAATGCCTGGCAGCTTCTTGCCTGTTCTCTCTTGAGGGGTTTGGGCATTGCTGAGGGAGCAGTGCTCAATCTCTGTGTGTGTGTGGGGTGCTGTGGGTGAACACCTTTGCTGAGTGTGGTTCCCTGGCCACTCTCACTGCACTGGAGAGCCCTTTGCTGGCTGCAGCAGCCCTGTGCTCAGTCCCCAGTGTTGTTCCATGTGTAATCTGTGTGTGGGGTGGTACAGGGAGTGGGGACAAAGGTGCTGTCAGCAGTGCAATCTGTGATGGGGACAGGGTGTGGACAAGCCATGGTCTCCATCACAGCTTGCTTTGCATTTCTGTGAAGGTGCTCCAATCAATGTCATGTTCCTGGCCCCTGGAGTGACTCCCTGGAAAACAACATTACCTGGAGTGAGCAATGGAGCCAACAACCCTGCCATTCGTGTGGTTGACTATGATCAGGACACCCTGCAGGTCTTGGTAAGGGACCCTGTGTGCACCACGCTGCAGCTGTGGGACAGCTGTAATTCCCTCTCTAGTCAGAACAGGCTTTTCAGGATTTCTCAGTGCACAGAGGCTGAGTGGCTGTGTGGGACAGGACTCTGACCCAGGACATTTCAGCCTCAGGTCTGGCACAAAGATTTAGTTGGAGCATCAGTGAGTCAAAGCATGGCCCTGGCAGCCAGTGCATCCTGCTGGCATGAGTTCCCTGGGCAGGGTCAGTTTTTGTGGTGTTCTTCATGTCCTTAATGAGTTTCATTTGACACTTGCTTTACTCCCCAGATAATATGGGTCACAGAACTACTCTTTGAGTAATAACAGACTTGTCAGACCCCCTCCAAAACCTTTAAACCATCTGAAAAATTATTTGTGTCCCTCTGAATTGAGGTGAATTGTAGGAGCAGCTTCTGTTTCCTGTCTCTTGTTTGCCCAGAGGTGGAGGACAGGTGCTTGTGCCCTCCTTTGTACTGGATGAAGCTCTCTATAGTTGCTCTGTTTGTGTGTTTATAGCATAGAAGTGAGTGCTACCATATGCTGTGCAAGGCTGGGGAGTCAGTGAAGCAGAGAGAAAAAGGGCAAGAGACTGAGAACAGCTATGAAAAACTGGATTCTTGTTTGTTCAGTTGAGAAGATAACACTGCTCAGTAACACTCGTGTATCTCTTGCTTCTGCTGCTGGGCAGTGCTGATAGGAACTGACAGGCCAGGCTCACAGCTTCTGCTGTTTGGAGGTCAAAGTCAAGCAGAGCAAAGCCACCCTGTTTCTTTTATCCCTTAGGGAACAGGCTGTGTTTGGGGTGGTTCTGGAGGGTCCCCAGGTGCCCGTCTGGGTTGGAAGCCCCATCCAGGGCAGCTGAGCCCTTGAGTGGGGGTCAAGCCTGACCCAGTGTCTCACCCAGGGCCAATCTTGTCCTGGTGTCTCCCCAGTTCTGTTTTTCTCTCCCTCAGGATATGGTGACTTACTACTTGAACCTGACTCGTGCCAACACGATGGGCTCAGCAGAGCTCCCCGAGTGGGAGGAGGAGTACAGGCTGACAGAAACCTTCCAGGTCCCTGATGGCTCTGCAGGCTCCATGCAGAGAGTGCTGGAGAAGATCTCCAGGGACCCCCAGTACCTGCAGCTGTACTATGAGCTGAACTCTGCCAGGTATGACCTGGAGCTGTGCCAGCAGGAATGCCGTGTGGATCACCTGTGTGCCATCAGGGAAATGGATTTTACAAAGTATGATGAGTGTGTGAAAACCAACAGCTCTGCCTCTGCTGCCAGCAGTGTCTGGCTTTTGGTTTTCTGCATTTTCTTAGGATTGCTCCATCCTCAGCAAGTGCTGTGATGGCAAGAGCAAGAGAAAAGCAGGAAGGCACAAGATTACACTACACTGCATGGGAATTGGTGGTTTTGGCATTGAGAACTTGCTTGGAAAGCAGGACAAAATTGTCAATGTTTACTAAAAGCCTTGTGATGCTGATTTGAAATTTTCTAGAGAAGTGTGAAGAGCAATGTTTTTGAGAGCCTTACTGTGCAACAAGGAGTGTCTCCCCTCTGCTGGGGCAGCCTCACAAATCAGATGAAGCCCTGTGGACATGAACTGACAAGGGGTGAGAGTAGGGAGCTGCCACGTGTCCCAGAGGCTGCTGCCAGCATTCCTTATTGTGGCACACACTTGTGGAAGTCACAGCTGGTGACTCAGGAAGTCTGGCTGTGGTGGCTTTGTTCCACCTGTTGAGCAGAGCGAGGTGGGCTGGGGTGGCAGCCCAGGGCAGGCTGCAGATCAGTGACAGGGGATGGTGCCTGAGGCTGCCCAAGGCCTCACTCTGTCAGAGGAGCAGCAGAGCTGGGCTCTGAGTACAGCTTACAAAGAGATTATGCCACAACCAGATAAAACTCGACTTGGACAACAAAAGCAGCCACTGTTCAAAATCCACTGCCAAGTGTCACCTGGGTACCAAAGTGCAGCACGAGGCAGCACAGCAGCTCACAAGCAAAGCAGCTGGAGCAGCTTTGGGAGCTGCAGCCCAAGGCCAAGGCCTGCAGGGAAAAGGGCACTTTGCCAGGGCACCACAGGCAGGCTCAGCTGTACCAGCACACACTGCAATGAACACACTGCACTCTCCAACCTGGCAAAATCAGCATTTAATTTACAACATAGTAAAGGTTACAGGTAAAAAGCTCAACAGAAGTGTGAAAAGGCCTATTACATATTACACAAGTGTACAAATGTCTGTACAAAGCCCCTCGATGTTCCTGTCCCCTCGTGGCCAGCTGTGGCCCCTAAGCTCTGAAATAATAAGAGCTGGTTCAGAGTCTGAGAGGAGAAGAGCTTTAAAAAATGAGCAGTGAAGTTTTCCTTGTCAAGAAAAATCTTGCAAAAAAAAAATCCTAAAACCCCCCAACCCACCCCTCTTCACCTGAAATAAAACAAAAAAAATCCCAAAAGAAAAAGAAGGAAACCTGCTCAACTTTTTTTTTGTCCTGACTAGTCTTACTCTAAAGAGTTGCCTTCAGAAAGCAACTGGCTGGGAAATGAAAGTCTTAGAGGCCAGACTAAAGAGGAAGATTCTGAGTTATTGTGGGAGCACTGGGAAGCAGAACAAATGCCCAACAGCTGAACCATCAATGGCAACTTCAACACAGAGCAGCACAGCTGGATCATGGAGCAGGTGTGAATCCACACAAGGAACAGTCTGAGCTGGATGTGATGGAGTGGGGAGGGAACAGAGCAGGCTCTAAAGCCATGGCTCTGTGAGCTGGGCAGCTGCCTGCTGGCTCCTCAGGGACATGATAGAAGCAATCACTGCAGAGCAGAACTCAGATTGTGGGGCATCTGCCTGAAATGGGTCTGGTGCATCCAGCATCCCATCCCACAGCACTGATCCAGCACCATCCAATCTCCCTGGGACACAGCACTGATCCAGCACCATCCAATCTCCCTGGGACACAGCACTGATCCAGCACCATCCCAGCTCCCTGGGACACAGCACTGAGCCAGCACCATCCCAGCTCCCTGGGACACAGCACTGATCCAGCACCATCCAATCTCCCTGGGACACAGCACTGATCCAGCACCATCCTGCCCCAACAACCTGGCACCACCTCCCAGGTAGCTGCAGTCCTGCACACACTGAGCCAGGTACATGCTCTCATTTCAGTGCACATTTCCTGGATCCCCCAAACAGCAAAGGAATGTGACTTGGAGCTGAACTGCATTAGAGTGTGTGCAAAAATCCAGAATAAACGTAAGAATAATAAAGCTCAGGCCTTACCTTGCATAAAGTACAGCCACAATATGTCTGAGTATGTGAATAATTTTCAGATAAAACTCAATATAAACCCAAGGAACTAAAGGGCTTGAGCAACAACCCAAGTCCACTGAGAATTCCTATTCTGGCTCTCAGCAGCACTCAATTCTCACCTGCAGCTCCCAGCAGCTAAAATATTAGTGTGTGGGGAACATGCCAGTCCTCCCAGCTTTCTGTCTTGATGAACCTCATATACTCCAAACTTAAAAGTTCCATTTGCAAGTAAAAATGAAACTTTAAGTTACATGGGCCACCAAGTCTAAAAGAAACTCCACTGTGTTAACTTCACCCTGAGCTATCCAGGGGAGTCACCATGGCACAGTGCCTGATCCTGTTGGATGTTTGCACCCTGCATCCATCCCACAGACCCATCCTGCAGCACTGGAACAAAGCTGAGGAGCCCAGCTGCTTCCCTGCTTATCCATCTCAACTCACAGCTCTTGGGGTGATCTAGTGTTTCATGTGGAAATCAAAACAAGCTGTAGCCAAACTAAAAATAATAATAATAATAAAAAAGACAATGCCCCACATTGGTGGGGTTTTGAAAATAAAAAAAATAAAAGCTGACCTATATTCTGCAAGTTTTACAACTCCTTCCAATGGGATTCTGCAAGGCTTGGCCCCACAAACATTTCCTCTTGACAGAGCTGCCCTGCTGTGAGCATGTCCAGCAGGAACAGTGTCAGCACAGCGAGCCCAGCACTGAAATACACGGACCTGCAGGGTCATGCCAGAAGTGACAATGAAATTGTGTGACTGCCCCTTTGACTTGTGGATCCAAACTGAGCACAAACACCTCTGGGACAGTGTGGCTAAGAAAAGGCTGTAGGGGTTTTGGTTCAAAAGGAAACGGGAGCTGTATTCTTTTTTTTTTTTTTATAACAGACATATAAAAACATTTGAAGACAGATCTTTAAAGGATATTTCACTCCTCCAATCTTGGTATTACATCTGTTAGGACACCGAAAGTTTAAAAAGACGATACCGCACATGGAAAGTTTCTGGAGTTGTGTCTCCTGCCCTCCCTCAGCCCCGCTCAGATCAGCAGGGACGGGGTCGGCTTCTTGCCCGGCCACGCCTCCTTGGCGTATTTCTTCTTCTTGGGTTCGTTCACAGCTTCGGGGTTGAAGACGGCGGGGTTGGGAGCCGGGTTCATGTTCACCGTGGAGGGCACAACCGGAGTCAAGTCCACATCGGGGGCAAGGTTGGGGTAGGGCATGGGCAGCCCCCCGATGAGCGCGGTGCCGTGCACGCTGTGGGGCTGCGAGCCGGCCTCGCTGTGGGTGGGGGGCAGCCCCCCGTAGAGCCCCCCGCTGTAGGGGAAGCTCTGCATGCGCCGCGACGCCGACTCGTCCGTGGGCAGCGAGCCCGCGTTCTCCAGGCGCTTCTTCTGCAGGCAGAGCGGTTGGAGAGTCACCCACAGTGCATGGGAACTTCAACCTGCCTCAACTGGGTGCCAGGACTGTTTTCTGCCCATTGTGATTTCAGGGTTTACCCCAGAACCTCGGGTCCCTCCCCTGATAATTCCCTCCCAGGTGTGTCAGTCACCTCTCCTTTCCCCTCCCAGCACTGTCTGTCACTCCTGGCATTCCAGAAGGGCATCGAGTGATTGGCAGATCCAAAGGATGCCCTCTACCCCGAGGGGCCATTGGGCCATCCAGGTGTCCTTTGTCCCTTTGTCCCTCCCCTCCTGTCCCTGCTTGGTGGCTCCCTGCCCCTTCCCTGCCCCTCTCCCCGGGCTTCAAAGGAACAGCAACCACGGGCTCAGGGAGTTCTGTTGGAGCTGCTGCTGCATTCAGAGGCCTGTGGGCCAGAATAAAGCTCTGCATCCAAACCCCTCCATCAGAACCGACTCCTTTCCTTCACCATCGCCTTAAAGCTTCTCTGCCAGATGGAAACCTGAGGAGCAGCCCCTGTTATGGGGGGAAGCTCCATCCCAGCACCACCAGAGCTCCTGCAGGCCTGGCCTTGTCCCCACGGGCCCAGCTGCAGCACCCAGGCAGCCCAAAGTGTCTGTGGGGTGAAACACCACACACCCAGCCAGCCCAAAGTGTCTGTGGGGTGAAACACCACACACCCAGCCAGCCCAAAGTGTCTGTGGGGTGAAACACCACACACCCAGCCAGCCAGAAGGGTCTGTGGGGTGAAACACCACAGTGCTGCTGTTTGGTTGAGCACCAAGCTCAGACATGTCCTGTCCAGCTATATTAGTAATATTCCAATAGTTTTCCCCTAAAACTGCCACATGCAAAGTGCCAACAGACCACGTCCCAGTCTTTGTCCTAAAAGGTTTGCTCTGGGTTCCCTTGAAAACCACAACAATGAACTCTTAGAGGTGCACAGTGCAGAAGGGAGACAAAAGCTCACACTCAGGTGTAACTCAGATGAAGTCTGAGCACCTCTTCACCTCTTTTCCACTCCTGCCAGTCTGGAGCTCATCCTGAACAAAGACCAAGTAGGTCACAGAATGTTCTGGGTTGGAACAGACCCACAAGGTTCACTGAGTCCAACTCCTGGCCCTGCACACAACACCCCAAGTCCCACCCTGTGCCTGAGAGCATTGTAACACAAACCTTCCCTCCCCTACAGAGAGAAACCGCAACTTTTAGATCACTTGGATAATTTTGCTCCTGATCATTGGAATCTTCTCCTGCAGTCTGGGTTTATGGAATATCATCCTTCTCCACATGATGTTATTTAGTCTATACCAGCAACAAGTGAAATTGCTGTTACACAGTGGCTTAGCTGCTCTGAAGCTCTGCAGATCTTTCTTTTCCCTTGAATACTCCAATTAAGTAGAACACTCATGTTGGAGCAAAGCCTAAACCTGCTTGTTCTAGTACACCAATGTATGAAACATCAAACACAGTATTTAATTAACCAACTCTCATTTTCCCCTTCTATTTTCCACATTTCCCACAGTTTTATCTGACACCTGGGACTAATGCACTAGATTTCTAGAAAGTGTTTCTTTTTGGGAGGAAAAAAAAAATCACCATTGATCCCATGTGTTATTAAAGAAAAAAGACAAAGCTGAGTTCAAAGGGAAATGCTCAAATTTGCTGAAAAAGAGAACTGTGAAACACAGACATCACTTCTGCCTAGCAATGAAACACCTCCCACGTGGGAGCACTGTTTCTAATGTGCAATTCATAAATCATAAAGTGAGATCATCAATGTAATGTGCTAATGAGAAAGTCAGGAGTCACCCCATACCTTAACAGGGACCACTGCTGTCTGTACCATGTTCCTGAACCGCCCCACAGACGGGTCCACGTCCTCTGCAAAGAAAAACAGGGATGACTGTAGCACAACCAGAGATGATGCCTTCAGTGAGCACAACCTGTGACACCTTCAGTGAGCACAATCAGTGGTGCCTTCAGTGAGTACAACCTGTGATATCTTCAGTGTGTACATGGGAAAAACAACCTCTGTGGGGTAATGTAGGAATGTGCCCCCTGTTGATGGAGTGACCAAATTATTCTTTGTCTCCTTAAAAAGGAAATAAGCCCAGAAGTTTCTCTCCTCAATTAGGTAAAAGATACCTCATAGGACCTTAGGGACTTCACCTCAAACCTGAGGACAGCCAGCTCCTTACCTGGATTGATGATTTCATCATCATCACTGAACGTCACTCTGGAGTTCTTCCGCTTTCGCTTTGGCCTCTGGATGTCCAGGTTCCCCTCCTCAATGGTCAGTGTGGAGATCCTTTTGTTGTGGGCTGTGTTAAACTCTGTCAGATTCTGCAGCAAATATAGAAATAAATGAAGTCTGATTTAATCCCATGACTGTGCACATCAGAAGACCACAGGACATTGTTTAGTTTCAACTTCAGCGTTAGATTTATGGACCTGATGATCTTAAAGGTCTTTTCCAACCTAAATGATTCCATGGCTAAGCAAACAAGCAGGGAATGCTGTCCTTGCTGGAAATGCCATCAAGGCAGTGTGCCATCATACTTGTGGTGTTTGTGAGGGTCCCTAGGATGAGGTGAGAGATGAGAAGTTCTCTGCCTCCAAGTTCTCAGAGGGCTGATTTCTATTCTATTCTATTCTATTCTATTCTATTCTATTCTATTCTATTCTATTCTATTCTATCCTATTTTATTATATTACATCATATCATATTATATAATATATATCATATCCTATCCTATCCTATTATATCCTATTATATTACATCATATCATATAATATATATCACATAATATCCTATTATATATCCTATTATATTATATTACATCATATCATATAATATCATATATAATATCATATCATATCTTATTCTATTATATTATGCTATACTGAAACTATACTAAAGAAAAAGATACATCAGAAGGCTTGACAAGAATGAATAATAAAAGCTCATGACTTCTCAGAGCCTCAACACAGCTGGACCATGAGTGTTTATCCAGCATGTGAATTGTTTTAATTTCATGACCAATCTCCAAATCACATTCCACAGCAGCAAAACAGGGAGAAGCTGAAGCTTCCCAGGAGAAGAAATCCCATTTATGGGATTTTTCAGAATATACCATGGTGACAAATACTCACATCCAGTTCTGTCTCCTCCTCTGGCAGCCCCAGCAAACCCTTGAGCTCCTCATCCTCACCCCCCATCTTCTCATCCCCCTTCACTGCTGAGGGCAGAGTCTGGGGCTTCTCTCGCAGGGTGTAGGCGCGCGTGGAGGCGCCGAAGGAAACCGTGGAGTCGATGGGGATCTGCTGGGGCTTGTGAGCTTCCAAACGGATGTGGCCCAAGAATGTGCCATGTGCTGGGGACAGCAAAACGCAAAACAGGCTGCTGAGCTTGAGCTATTCCAGTTCAAGTTTGAGAATCTCAGATATGGTAACATTTGTTCCAAGGTACAAGGCACTGAGGTACTGCTGAAAGCATCAGCTGTGCAGATCCACCATGTCACAAACTGAGATAACACACACCAGAAGTCCTCAAAAAATCACTGGAAATAAACTACAAACACCTTTTACTTTCTGTATTCCTGCAGGTCCCAATGTACTGTCTGGACAGTGCAAAAAAACACCTGACAGGTTTTAGACCTTGGGAAATCACCCTGAGAAGACAAGGCTTCACTAAAATTGTGATGGGAAGGTCAAGACACTTTTCTCCTCTCCTCTGGCCTCTTACAAGTCAGAAATGTTTGAAACACTCAGTGAGGCAGCTGTAGGCTGACTGCAGCAAACACTCCTTTGCCCTAACCCTTGTCTTTCCCTACGATGCAAATTCAAATGATATCCATTTGCCCACAGTGCAGACAACAATGGAACGGAAAAAGTGTCTGAGATTCAGAATGTTTAAGCACTGAGGTACAGCTCTTCTGTCTGGTTAAATGCCACACTACTTACTGCTGTTCAGATCTATGAGGAAAACCCTCTTGAGATGTTTGTGATAGACCAAGGCAGCATGGACTCGAGAGCAAGACTGGTGGTCAATGGTAAAGTCACACAGATCAGGATTTCTCCCAAAGAGATAGTATTTCTTCTCATCAATGATGAGTTTCTGAGGTAGAATATCAAACAGAGAAGCACATTAGACTCCTAGAATATTTTAGAACTTCCTGAAAAAAATTCAAGAATGTGAATAAATAGAGCAAATTCAAGACAAAGCATCAACAGCTCATCAATATTTCAGTTTAGTCTGGCACTGCTAAAATAAACTCAAGTGTGCTCCACAAACACTGATCAGCTCTGCAAGCAGTTACCTCACAATTTCAGTTACCACAAAAACTGATCAAACCATTTCTCATTCTTGCCCACAACTGAAACCAAAAGCATCCTGTAAGTTTTCATTTGCAAACAATACTGCCCTGCCTGGGGAACGCTCCCAAGAGATTTTGCAAAGACACAAATTCATGGAAGTTACTGCAACAAATAAGATATTTTTATTGCATTTAATACAACGTTTTTAAAATGTTCTGTGCCTCTGAGCTATAACCCAGTGTCTTTCTTCACACACTGAGCTTAAACACTGCATGGCTTGTTTTGCTGTAGCACTTTGCAGACCCAGCAATCACAGGGACACTGATGGCTCGGTTAGTATCAAGTGCTCAACAACCCCCAGGATTTCACAATGCTCCCCCTTGGTTACTGCTGCCTACCAGGAAAGACAAAAGTGAAAAACTCTCTGCCACCTGTATTGAGCAGGGAAATAAACACAAAGATCACATCCAAGTGCTGTTTGGCTCAGTGCTAGAGGATCTTGCAATAATATTTAAATTAGTGGCAATGGTACCTACCAGCAGCAGTTTTTCCTTCTAGACAGAGAAGAGGAGCTGAGGAAAACATGTGAGGGAAAACATGGTGGCACCAAGGGCAGGGGAGAGGGAGAGGGAGGAGCTGCTCCAGGTGCCAGAGCTGAGATTCCTCTGCAGGCTGCGGTGAGACCAGGGTGAAACAGTCCCTGAAATCCATGGATCCATGGGGGAGGCAGAGATCCACCCACAGCCCTGGGGATCCATGGGGGAGGCAGAAATTCACCCACAGCCCTGGGGATCCATGGGGGAGGCAGAAATTCACCCACAGCCCTGGGGATCCATGGGGGAGGCAGAGATCCACGCACAGCCTGTGGGGATCCACAGGGGAGGCAGAGATCCACCCACAGCCCTGGGGATCCACAGGGGAGGCAGAGATCCACCCACAGCCCTGGGGATCCATGGGGGAGGCAGAGATCCACCCACAGCCCTGGGGATCCATGGGGGAGGCAGAAATTCACCCACAGCCCTGGGGATCCATGGGGGAGGCAGAGATCCACAAGGGATGCAGAAATCCACCCACAGCCCCTGGGAAAAGGGCTCACACTGGAGCAGGTGGATGCCAGAGACAGCTGTGATCCAGTGGAGACCCAAATGGAGAGAAAGGGCCTTTGCTTCCAAACTAGAGCAGCCCAGCCTTAAAAGCCTGCACCCCACGGATGAGTGATCCACACCACAGCAGTTTTGGGAAGAGTTTTTGCCCCTGGGAGGGACCCCATGGCACAGCAGAGAAAAGACTCTTCTCCCTGAGCAAAGAGATCTCATGATGAACTGACCAAAACCCCCAGGCCCCCACCAAATCTCCCTGTGCTGTCAGTGGGAAAGAGGGAAGGGCTGGGGAGAAAAAAAGGTGTTTTAAAGGCTTATTTTACTTCTTGTTAGCCTCCTCTGACTCTGTTAAAGGTGTTTTAAAGGCTTATTTTACTTCTTGTACCCTCCTCTGACTGTTAATAATATATTCACTTTATACCTTTAAATTTGAATCTGTTTTGCCCTTAGAGGGTTTTTTTTCCTTCCAATCTTTATCTCAACTAATGAGCCCCTCATTAATTTTTCTCCTCTCCTCTGCCCAACTGTAGCAGGATAAATGAATTACTTTTGTGGGTGCCTGGCATTTGTGTCAAACCACTACACCCAGAAATATTTCTGTTCCAGTCAGTTCCAAGTGAGGAGTCTCTCCACACTGAAATACATTCACTGGTTTGGGCTTTCTCTGTCAACAATGGGAAAGAGACTTTTCTTTATTTATTACTTTCAGTGTGATGTAAGACAAAATATGAAATAGAGAATGAGGTGCTGTAATAAAAATAACTTGCTGTATCTGTGCTGATCACAACACTGCTCACAGATCCTGAATGTGGGAGGAAAAATCAAACCAAACTGTATTTTCATGCTGTAGGACAGAGCAGCACTCTTGCAAAATAGAGAATGCCTGGTTAATCTGACTGTAATGCAAAATAAAAAATAAACTGAGCAGACAGGTTTGTCAAACAAGCAGTACAAGGGGAAGAGGATTAACTGATGGGAGCCCTGCATGGCATGAGGCTGCCTTGCACAGGCAAAGGAAAAGTCACTTCATTCATTGTTTCAGAGAAAAAAACCAACAGATTTGAAGATAATGAATTCATGAGGGAAAGGAAATACTTATGAGTAAGTGTGGAAAATGATGGGGAATGTTCTGCTGCTGATACACCAAATCCATCAAACCCTAATTCCATACCTCAATGAGTTTGTCTCCTTTGACTACATCCAGATGTAAGCCGGGTGGTGGTTTCCCTGCCCTGGAAAATAAAGGAAAAATATAACACTTAAAACATTTAATAAAAATTTTATTTATATTAGAGCTGCATGAGCTATAGACCAAACCTATACAAATGTAAGCAGAAGTATTTTGGGGAAAAGTTGAAAACCCCATAATTTTCTTTTCCTCATTGCAGATTCCTTCTAACAACACATAAACCAAGAATATTTTATGGTAAGAGTGAAGGTAACAGGACATGAAACATCTCAAGCTTTACCTCTCCAGCTAAAAATAATTTGATTTTCACAATAAACAGAGCAAATCCTGAGAGCACATGGTATGAAACCAACAACCAGAGATGGGGGCAGGTTAAAGAGCTCTGTTATCTCATGTCACCCTCACAACAGCACATCTCCACCCCTCAGCACAGCACAGCAAGGGTGAGCTCATGGGGCAGCAGGAACAAACTGGGCACCCACAGTGCCCCACGCCAGGCTGCTGCTGTGCCACAGCACCACACAGGGTCCCTCAGCTCTTGGCACCAAAGGATCTTTTCCTGCTCGGATATCTCAGGATCTGCATCTCCAGGAGTTCCTCACAGGTAACATCTCTGCTGCTGGAGCAGCTTTGCAGGCAGCAGCAGTGACCTGGTTCTGGTTCTGTGCAGAGATCATGTTCCCATTGCTCAGGGAACAGTGACAATGGCAGAGATGTTTGCAGGGTCACTGGTAGCTGAAGTTGTCTGAAGGGGTTAAATACAGATGGTCACATTTCTGGGGTGTGCCTTACATTTATTGGTTTTTCTGTGTTGCAAGGTCAGTTCCCCTCAATAATTTAATGTAAGAACAGTCTCCTGTTATTTCTACTTCATTTCTTTGCCAGGCATTTTCCTTTCTTGTTTCCCATCCATCACACCAGCCTGCCCACATCTCTCTGTTCCTTTCTGAACTGACCACTTGGGACTTTCACAAGTTCTCTTGTCAAGCCCTTCTCAAAAATGGTGGATTTACCACCCTAACAAGGATATGGTTAATTCTGACTCCTATTGTTTCAGATGAACAAACAGCAGCAGCCAAAGCAGAGGATGCTGAACTCCAGCACAAGTGGTGACTTCAGCAGTGCAATGGGATTTTGGTGATGTGGGGGACAGAGCAGCAAGCAGAAATGCTCCAAAGGTGGGACACAGCCTGTGTGCTGAGCTGGAGCCCCTCAGCACAGCCAGGGAAGCTCCTCTTGCGAGGGGCTGCTCAAGGAGCTTCCAGCCAGGCTCCCCTGAGCTGCCCCCGTGCTCCCTGCACATCCCAGGGCTCAGCTCTCACTGGAACACAGGCTCCTTTCATGGATTCCTGTCCACTTCTCAGTGCTCCCTTTCTCCTGTGCCCTTCTCAGTGCTCCCTTTCTCCTGTGCCCTTCTCAGTGCTCCCTTTCTCCTGTGCACTTCTCAGTGCTCCCTTTCTCCTCTCCACTTCTCAGTTTCCCCTCTTTCTGCCTCTGAGCACTGGAAAACTTCTCTTCTCCCATTCCTCTCAAATTGCCAAGTTCTGGTTACTCTGCAACCCAACTTTTGGTCATTTTCACACACCAGCCTTACTCTGATCAAACATCAGCCACTTCCCCAATTTTCTTTTCTTTCCAAACAGATAAACCTTTCAACAAATTCACTCTGCAAGCTCCTTCTAACCCAGTCTGGCCTCTGCTTTTCCTTTCAGTGATCTGTTCCTGGATACTCAGCCTGCCCTAACACATTTTAGCACTCCCTCCCTGCACCTGTCAGGTCACAGAGAATCCCCAGGAGCTCCAGCACAGCTGGATCCTGTCTGATGCTCATGTTTTGCTCTGCTTTTTCATTACTCCCTCTATTTTCAGTTTCATTCTTGCTCTTATTTTTACTCTGCCTCTACCTTCAACCTTATTTTCAACAGATAAACCAAACTCAGTATCACAAGGCAGTGCCTTCAGCTGTGAATTAAAGTGCTAGAAAAATCCACCTATTCTCTGGCCTCTTTTGGACTGCAGAGAATCCTTTGTAGGCACTATTTCCCTCATCTACCTATTCCTGCAAACACAGGAAGCTTGTAAATACTGATTATGACACCATGAAAACAAATTCACAGAAGTAATTTCTGATAGAAAACTCCTTTGGAACATTTTAAGTCAATGGCACAGTTCAGGCTGCCCAAGTTAGAGACCTGAAAAACCATTTAATGAAAAAAAGTGGAAAGATTATTCAGTTTTATATTAAAAACTAATTGGCTCCAGAGGCACCAAAGATCAGAAGTAATGCCTGGATTTGGAAGTATCAGTCACCTTTCACATGCTCTGTCCCATCAAGGAGTAAAACATGAAAGGAAATCTCTTGCACAGATCTCCCAGAAGAAAGTTTATTAGAAAGCTGGACTTATGCTGTTACAGCAAACCAGTTTTTTCCCATTTTATGTCCAATTTAAAAAAGTCCTTTTCCACTAAACTAATTCCACTATGTGCTAAAATATCCACTAAAATAATTTCACTATGTGCTAAAATATCCACTAAATTAATTTTCCTGCACTGTTCTGGAGGGTGAAGAATTACTTGAGGTCAGCAGATTGTCCTCTCTACAGAACACAGAGAGCCCTCAGCACTGCTCTCCTATCACAGCTTGGCTCCAGCACAAGTGCTTGTGTTTGAAAATGAGGAAAAAGCAATTTCTTCTGTACCTTGCAGATGGTGCATCAGTGCCCACTGCTTCCCCAGGGCAGCATCCTGCAGGTGACCTGAAAAGAACTGATTTTTGATAACTGCAGATGCACTGATTGTGGTGGGTACCAGGTGAGTGAGTTTGACTGAGACCCAGGATGCTCTGCCTGCCTCCTGAATCCTGAAATTCCTGGGAGAGAGTTCCAGGATTCAGGAGAATTAATGGAGACTTAACAGAGAATTAACAGAGAATAAACAGAGCTGACTGGCAAGGAGAACAGGAGCATTCCCACTTTGGGATTTCCCCACATGTGGATTTGTACAGAAGACATCAACTGCTTACAGTGATCAGCAGTTAAATATTTACAAGGGATACCACTGAACAAAACCAGGTTCCAGCACAGGTTTTTAAAAGATTTAAATATCTACAAGCAAAGAAATCTTTCTTCTGTACTAGAAACAGAAAATTCTGTTTCTTTGCTTTGTCCACCTCGTGCTCCACAGGCCAGGCCATGTCTCTGTACAAAGATAAAGCATTTTGGAAAAGAAGGACAAGGCCATTTACACTTTGGAATGTGCCAAGTAAGAGAACTGAGGTTTTACAAATCAGGATCTCTTCCACAGTGCAGATTCAATGCTGACAGGCCAGCAGGGTTAGAATTTCCATATCCAGCTGAAACTCAGCAGCCTGACTGATGTAAATCACCACAAGAAATTGGGAATTGTTGCTATTAAGGACAGAGACAGGACAGCCATAATTCTGTTGTGTTAGTTTAGAATTAGGTCAATTATTTGGGTTCCTAAGTGTGACTCAGAACCTAAATTTAGCCACTTCCTAAAAATCTTGGCCTCTGTGACTCATGTACACACCTTCATGTCCAACTTCAAGGACAGGGTGGAATTTGCAGAACTCTGGAGCAGAGAAATCTGTGTAAAAGCATCACCAGGAACAGCCAGTTCTTGGCCAAAGAAACTAAAGAGAAACAATTTCTGTCTTCAAATAAACTATTTCTAATGTATGTCCATTCCAGGACAAACCTGACATCCCCACTACTGAGGTGTCAAAGAGAGTAAAGAATTCCAAATTCCAAAGAGAGTCACAATTGCAAACACAAGTGACACCAGGACAAAAGGACAGGCAGGCAGTACCCACTAAACATCTGATCCCTTCAAAATCACACACCAGCTAACATCTGCACCTCAGAGAAATCACTTTTACCACCCAAAGCCAGCTCAGAATGTTTCCAAAAGTTTAAATCAAATTAAAATGTCTAATTGTTATCTAAAGCCATTTTCTGATCTCATGGAATGGGTAAATATTAAATACAGGAAGTCTTGGCACCCTCTTTATGCCAACTGGAAATGCACAGGCCAAATGTTGGCTGATGCACACAGGAGTTCCAGCACATGCACAAACATGTTCTGGCACCTGCAAGGTGCCAAAGTTTTCATCTGTTTTAAGCTTAGCTGCTGGAAACACAAGGAAAGAAAGAATAAATAGTGGATGGATTATGAAGAAGCAACCTATAACAGCACAAAATCTAAATCAGAGCCACAACTTAAATCAGATGAAAACTGGGAATTTCAGAGCTGAAGTCTTTTCTGGAAATGGGGTACTCAGATACTATCCAAATTATGGAAGAAGTAAAATGATAGAGGCAAACCTCAAAAGCATGGGCAAGGGAAAAAGCTACTCCTTTGGATTACACCTAAGATGTATTTCTCATGTGATTGGTGCTCACAGGTCTCAGACAGCTTTCCTTAGAAGCAGGAACATAAATAAATAGGTAAAAACTGTGATTTTCATTTTAAAGGCAAAGATTGTGATTTTGATTTTAAAGGTAAAGACTGTGATTTTCATTTTAAAGGTAAAGATTGTGATTTTCATTTTAAAGGTAAAGACTGTGATTTTCATTTTAAAGGTAAAGATTGTGATTTTTGATTTTTTGATTTAGAGGTTGAGGAGACTGAAGATAATTCACTACAGAAGAATCTGCTCTGACTGTGAAAACTCTGCAACTCCAAGCTCTTGGTCACCCAAAGCTCTTGGAATGCAGCCCTGCAATGCTGCCTGCACAGGAAAATCTCATGGTTGTGTCAGACCAGGCTTCCTGCAGGGTACTTTTACATCCTCTTAAATCAGAACTTTGAATAACATCAGCATTTCTCCAATCCTGCTGCTGCAAAGCAGCTCCAGCCTGGAGAATCCCACCTGGGAAAGCTCAGACTGGCTCCACATCACACCTGAGCCCTCTGGTTCCACATCACACCTGAGCACTCCCTGGTTCCACATCACACCTGAGCACTCTTTGCTTGGCTCTAAAAGGAACAAATGCTTTAAAGCCATGAGCTGGAAGATCAGCAGATGTCAGCAGAAGGTACCCAGAGCTTTAGCATGAAATATATCTAGAGAAAAAGAACCAGAAATAAATAAATAAATGCACCTGGCAGCAGAGCTCCTCACTCCAGCATGGTTATCACCACCAGCACTTCCCATTTTGGGTTCAGTGCTCAGAACACAAACACTGGGACTGGGAGCTCTCCAGGCTGCCTTCCTGCTGGCTCACTTCTTTATTTTTCCTCTTTTGGGTATCAAAAACAGCATTAAGGACAAACACAAAGCTTTCACTGCTGTTAGCTGCCACATCTGCAGCTAACAGATGCCAATTGGACAAAATTAAAGTTTACTTCACAGCTATAAATACACAAAAATGGTCCGTAAAACCATTACAGTGTGCAAACACACAACAGAGTCCAAGAGAAAATAAAAAGTTTCCTTACAATGTACAAGGAAAGAGCCCAGACAGGCACTTTGCTGTACCCAAGAACTATTTTGGAATATGATTGTAAAAAGACATTCAGGTTGCAAGAAGTGAATTACAAAAAGTCTTTAAAATGTGACAACAGAACAGGGCCTGGCATCTCCCAGATCCCACCTCATTTCTCACCCAGCACAACAGACTGTGCTTGAGAACCAAACCAGGGCAGGGACACAGGGAAACTCTGTCAGACCCTGCCAAAGACACAACCAAGGACCTGAAGAGCCCTCACAGTTCCAGGTGTTACATTCTCTCCTCCAGATGGGATTCCTTTAGGAATTCATCTGCATGGAAGGCACTGAGACTGAGCATTTTACAAGCTGTGCTTCCCCAGCTCCTCCATCCACAGCTTCCAAAGGCACAAGTCATTCCAATTTACCATGAATATAATGCATATTGTGATCACTGTAGTATAAAAACATTAGGGGGAAAAAAATTATATTTCAAATTTCAAGCTGAATATCCAGAACAATCTTTGGCTTTATCTGGTTCATTGTGTCATCACCTCATGGAACAGCATCCTGTCTCATGCAGATGTTTAGTGTTTATTATGTTTATTACTGTGTATGTTCAGCACAAATAAGACCCTACAATACATGAGGAATTCTCTTCCATGAGAAGGTGAAATGGCTTTACCAACTAATGCAGGCACCTAAAAACCAGCTCTAAATGAAACACATGATCAGTGTCACAAAGCTCTGAGAGCTACAGCACAGCTGGGTGAGCAGGGACAGCCTGGGCTCTGCAGGGACAGGACTGGGCCACACAGCTCCAGCTCCAGGTGCTGTGGGCCGCTTGTGTGACTTAAAATACCACAGTGCCCATCCCAGTGCTCCTGTGCCCATCCCAGTGCCCAGGTACCCATCCAATCCCATCCCAGTGCTCCTGTGCCCATCCCAGTGCTCTGGTACCCATTCCAGTGCCCCTGTGCCCATCCCAGTGCTCTGGTACCCATCCAATCCCATCCCAGTGCTCCTGTACCTATCCCAGTGCTCTGGTACCCATCCTGGTACCCATCCCAGCGCTCCTGTACCCATCCCAGTGCCCAGGTATCCATCCAATCTCACTCATCCCATCCCTCCGGCACGCAAAGAAGGCAGGAGAGGCCGGATCTCTTCAGCGATGATCCAAGCACAGAACAAACCATCAAGGGCACCCCGATGCCAGGCTGTGCTCCGGCAGGAGGGCGAGCCAGGGCATTTCCAGGGCTCCCTTTCACCCCTAACCCAGCCCAGGGATGGCCGCGATGCCGTTTCTGCAGCACCCAGCCCGACTCCTGAACTCAGGCTAATACAAGCCCCAGCCTAGTTTCAGACTGACAGATTTCCCGTGCCGCGCACACGCCCCGAGCAGGATATTTCATTCCTCCCACAGCCCGGATTCTGCCTGAGCTCTGAGGAAAAGCCTCGGCACCCCAGGGAGGCCCCGCGCCCCCCGCCGCGCTGTCGCTGGCGGCCCCGAGGGCCGCGCCCAGAGCGCGCCGGGCCGGGCAGCGCGGTGCGGGCCCGGGGAGCGCAGCCCCGCGCCCCTCCCGCCCCGGCCCCGCGCGGCCGCTCACCAGCTCGGGCACTCGAACAGGGACCCGCCGCCCGCCGGGGCCGCGCTCGCCGCCATCTTGGCTCTGCCCCATTCAGCCGCCGCGGGGCACCCTGGGAGCGCGGAGCGGCGCGCGCCGGTCCCGGCCTGCCCCGCGCGCCAACGGGGGGGCGGGGCCTGGTGATGCCCCGCCCACTGATGGCTGGCCCCGCCCCCGACCGGCTCCGGACCCGGCGCGGGAGCTGCGGACAGCGCCGGTACCGACACTGGGACAGAGGCGGTACCGACACTGGGACGCGGGGACAGCGCCGGTACCAACCCTGGAACGCAGGGACAGACCGGCTACCGACCCTCGTTCTCGGGGACAGACCCGGTACTGCCTCTGGAACGCCGGGACAGCCCCCGTACCGACCCTGCGACAGCATCGGTACCGACACTGGGACTCGGGGACAGCGCCGGTACCGACCCTGGGACACGGAGATAGACCCGGTACCGACCCTGGAACGCGGGGACAGACCCTGTACCGACCCTGGGACTCGGGGATAGCCCCGGTAGCGCCTCTGGAACGCGGTGACAGACCGGGTACCGACCCTCGTTCTCAGGGACAGACCCGGCACCGACCCTGGAACGCGGGGACAGCGCCGGTACCGACACTGGAACGCGGGGACAGACCCTGTACCGACCCTGGGACAGAGCCAGTACTGACACTGGAACGCGGTGACAGCCCCGGTACCGACACTGGAACGCGGTGACAGCCCCGGTACCGAGTACCGCGGGGACAGCGCCTCTGTCCGAGCAGAGCCCCGAGCACAGCCCGGTACGAGCACTCCCGGTGAAAAGCCGCCTGTCCCGCCTCGGCCCGGCCGCCGCAGCTGCCCGGGGCTGTACCGGGGCTGTGCCGGGGCTGTACCGGGGCTGCGCCCAGGGCTGTGCCCAGGGCTCTACCGGGGCTGTACCGGGGCTGCGCCCGGGGCTGTGCCCAGGGCTGTGCCGGGGCTGTGCCCAGGGCTCTACCGGGGCTGTACCGGGGCTGTACCGGGGCTGTGCCCGGGGCTGCGCCCGGGGCTGTACCCGGGGCTGTACCGGGGCTGTGCCCGGGGCTGTACCCGGGGCTGTGCCCGGGCCCGCAGGCACGGCACACCAGGCACTTCCAGAAATTCCCAGAGGGGTCGGACACACATCCGAGGGCCAGGATGTGTCACCCTGGCTTTTTAAGATTTTCTAAGCCTTCTGATGTTCACATTCTTGTAACGAACTTTCTCCCACACTTTCTGTAAATAACTCATTGTTTTGCATTCTTTTATGGAAGAGAAGAAACTTGATGGACTGTTGGTTTGCCCAGTGTCATTGGAGAGGTGGCACTGTCACCCTCCAATCCACTGTCACTTTTGGAAATCTGTAAATGTTGAAGTGTCTTACAGCGACACCAGGACACTGCAGCAACAGCCACGGGAATTTCATTAATCAAGAGTGTTAAACCCACCAGTTCTACTGCCATGAACAACGATGTGAGAGAGGAGAAAGGAGTCAAGCAGTTACAGAAAGCTCAGCACCCTGTACCCTCAATTCCAGTTTCCAGAGGAATAAATCAGGCGAGAATAAGGATGGAGCCTACAAAGAATGCTCCTGTTTAGGTCTGGTGACCTAAACAAACAAAACTAAGTGCTTTTGTTCTTAAATGGCAGTGTGACACCTGGCAGCAGGCATGCACAAATCAATAGCTCCTGCAATTTCCAAGGAAAATTAAAAAAAGGAGCAGGAGGACACAGAGGTCCCTTGCTTTCAAGTCAGATTTTATCATACAGGCTCACCAACAGCTCCAAGTTCTAGCAAAAGGCAAATAGTGAGAGCTGCCCCAATGCTGCCCTGAGGTATGAGATTCATTTCTCTGGGATCAGCTATTGTCCAGGACTCTGCACAGAATTATTGTGTGTGTCCTTGTGAAATGGATTTTGTGTTTTCAGGAAGTTTCATTCTGAAAAATCAGGGAGCACAGAACTAAAGCTGCAGGAAACACTACTGTGCTGATGTAAAGTCCTCTACTCCACTTAGAGGGTGTGGGAATTTGCAGGCAGCCCTGACATGGGAAGAGATGAGAACCTTGACTCCATGTTTCAGAAGGCTGATTTATTATTTTATGATATACACTATATTAAATGATATTTTAAAACTAGACTAAAAGAATAGAAGAAAGGATTTCATCAGAAGGCTAGCAAGGAAAGAAAGGAATGGGATGATAATAAAATTTTGTGACCAGACAGTCCAAGCCAGCTGGGCTGTGATTGGCCATTAATTAAAAACAACCACATGAGACCAATCACAGCTGCACCTGTTGCATTCCACAGCAGCAGATAATCAATGTTTGCATTTTGTTCCTGAGGCCTCTCAGCTCCTCAGGACGAAAAAATCCTAAGGAAATGATTTTTCAGAAAATATCATGGCTACAAGAGAAAAAATCCTAAGGAAATTATTTTTCAGAAAATATCATGGCTACAAGAGAATATCATGGCAAACACACCTGTGCCAATGTCTAAACTGCAAGAGAAATGAGCTCAGAGAGGCTTTTAAAAGTGTTTATTGATGATTATTGGATGGAATGGCGGCGCAATAGTGCAAACCACTGTGCAATGGGGAGAACTCCCTTCCCAGCTTTCACGTTCACTTTATTACAGACGAGACATGGAAGAAGGATTAAATACAAAATGGGTCAGTATGCTGCATTTCCCACCCCCACTGGGCTTTGGACAGATTACTGTTCCCTCAGTGCATGTCAGTTCAGAGCTACATTGGAGTGGGGAGTGCCTGCTTGTTCTGCCCAACCCTGTGAGCTGGAACCAGCAATCCTTTTCATTTGCACACACATCCCCAGCCTGAAAATCCCAGCACTTCACTCAGCCAGTTTCTGCACTTTCATGAAGAATTGAAAATACCAAATGTTCACAAGCCACACATAAATATTTACTAGAACACCACAAGTGAGCTTCAAGAGCACTTCAGAATCAAGATTTCTGCTAAAACTCTTCACTAATCTTACTAGCTTGTAAACTTAGGTGCCCACTTCCTCATTTTTAAGTGTTTTTTCCCCCTGGAAGCTTCTGAAAAGTTGGGAGTGAGCAGCTAAACCTTTTATATTTAGTGCTTGAGTCAGCATTGGAAGAGGTTTATTTGTCCACTAGCAAGCAACCAGCTAGTTTGTCTAAGGAGATTGCACTGTTAGATTCTAAGTCAAACAACACTCTGTCCTCAGGTGATGCATTTTGTGAAAAAACAACCCCAACCACACCCCAAAAAAATTAAACTACACTGTTAGAGTCTCAAGGCTAAACTGACCAGCATCAAATCATCATCCACACATACCCTCCTTGCCTCTCAAATCTGTGACAACATCCTTTTCTTCAAGAGAATCTAGAACCACAGCCACTTGGAGACAATAAAACCATGGGGCAGATACTGGAGACTTTAGAAACTGCTGGATTTACATAATGTGACTTGGTGGTGGGCAGTCTTTGAATGCCATTCTCATTCCAGTCCAACAAAGTTACCTACACACACAAAAAGTTGAACTTGTGTGACTTTGTCAAAAACAAGACATCTCCAATTATTGATCACACTTCAGCATACAGCTGGGACAGGGAAGAACACATTACAGAAAGCAAACCCACGAGATTTTAGTTACATAAAACAATATAATTTGTATATAAACTGATAAATACTGTCTCCATGGTTCACTAATTCCATATACTAGTTATCTGCACATTAGTTGCTAATATCTATTATTAGAAGCAGTTCCAACTTGTGCTCTCTCAGGGTGGTCAATTCATCTCCGAGACTAAGTCAGCCTGCTTGCTCTGACAGAAAAAACCTCAGCTGTGACACTGGGTCCCATGGGAAGATTTCATGTTGTCTTCCAGATAAGGAGTCCTATGATTATACAGACCACAGCAAGGCCAAGAATCAGGATACAGATCTTCTTACGGGATTTCTTCTAATAAGAGAAGAGAAAAGAAGCCACTGACACCAGGAACACTTGAGGAAAAAGCAAGGCTACCATTCATGTTACTGACTTGGGTCAACAGGAGCACTTTGAACCCCCCACAGTTATTTGAGAGAAGCAACCAGAGTAGTCTGAACACTTTTACATGTTCCTTAAACTCCATGATTATGATTCTATAGGGGAATGTTTTTAATTTTAGGAGTGCAGTGGTCTAAGAGATGCAGTTAAGTCAAAATGTGACAGGTTTTGCTTCTCTTAAGGAAAATACAAGCCTCAGGGAAGGCCAAGTATTTAGATTTTTTCCTAATCAAACTCCTAAGCAGTTTTCACATACAATCTCCCCTTGGCCACTTGTTGCATTTCTACAATTTAAATGATTTCATGTATAGTTAATAAACTTGGATTTCACAGCTTTCCTTACTTTATTCATCACAGGAAACTACAGTCCATCCATTTACACCAAATATTTTTAACTTGGCATCTAAGGATTTGAGGGTAGCTATATATAACCACTTCTTTCTCCATCCAGAAAAAAAACCCACATGCAAAACATGTCCAACAGCTCCCAAACTTAGGTTTATAAATACCTCAGAACTTTGGCAAGGAAGCCATGGAGAGAGAAAATTCTACTACAAGCTGCCAGATGGTAAAACCAACATTTCCAGCCTTGCACCCAACAGCACTGGAGTTTTATTGCCCTCCAGTAGCTCCCACTTAACAGCTTGGAAGAGTCCAGTATTTCTTGTGTAAATACCAGCAGAATGGGACTGACTAAAGCAGAACCCTTACCCCTTCACAGAAGGTGGATCTAAAGGGATAAGGATGGTGAAAGGAACCTACAGAAAACACTGGAACCTACAGAAAGGAACCTACAGAAAACACTGGAACCCACAGAAAGGAACCTACAGAAAACACTGGAACCTACAGAAAACACTGGCTACCATTCAGCAGTGAGAGCCACTGCAAGAGATTTTGTCTGGGATTGGGACAGGGAGAACAGACTATGGGACAGAAACTCAGCAGCTGGACAGGAGTGTTGCAAATTCTGGTCACCAGAAGTTCCCCAAATGTGGGCATAGATTTTTGTATGCCAGAGTCCTGGCTAAAATATTTACAAGTCAGATACAATATC